CGCAAATTGATCATTTACATGGAAAATTTTCTTAGGGCTTGTTATCTTGGAACGAAATTATCTCGAAATTTATCCATATGATAAATGGTCTGATAGTTATCTCCCTCAATTCCGTCAAGGCGAAAAATTTATGCCGACATCGTGTGAGATGAAGGAAAGCGCTACATCGCCTCCCGAACTATTAACAGAGGCAGAATTAATCAGTATTATGGATGCAAATGGTATTGGTAAGCATACCCATTTTAGACTATACGTTAGCCATGTAATAACAGATGACAACCCTTTGACTTTGATACCGACATTTTTCATAAGGTACCGATGCGACTATTCACGAACATATCGCAAAGATACTCGACCGACAATATGCAATGAAGCAACCGAAAGGCAACAAAGTGTATATAGCTCCTTCCAATCTGGGAGTGGCATTAGTTAAAGGTTATGATCGTATCGGATTTGAAATGTCATTATCCAAGCCTTATCTACGTCGCGAGGTAATAATTATTTCTAAATTATATGTTTACTAATTATATCAATCGACTAAACGTTTTATCGTAGATGGAGGCTAGTTTGAAGCTGGTTTGCGAAGGACGAAAGGAGAGGGCAGACGTCGTTAAAGAGAGTATAGAGATGTATAGAGCTATGTTTATTAAGACAGGGGAAAATGTCGGTCTACTGATTCAGGTGAGTCGAGTAAATAATTGATAGGTATTGCAATAATAAACATTCATTTCTGACGCGCAGTGTGATATTCTAGTCACTTACAAAGTATCTGAATTTGTCGGCGTTGGCATTCGATGAGGAAGAGTTTCGTTCAATGATGGTAAGTCAATCAATTGTCATGGTTAAACATACTCAATATTAACGTAACATTTATTTATTTCAGGATGGGAGTCGTCGGTGATGCTGAACAGGATTAATTATCGCGTACACCGTTGTCTTTTTATAATATGAACACATACTAGATTTGAGTTGACATTTATTAATCTACATTTGAACTTCTAATGCATGTAATGAAACATTAAAGTTAGGAAACAATTTTATTTTATGTTTTGTTTGTGTCAAGTCCATGTGTCTCGTCCTCCTCATTGTCACCATCATGATCGTCATCATCATCATCATCATCATCATCATCATCATCATCATCACTACCGTAAGCAGCCAATCCGCTCAAAGCTCCCCCACCATTCTCGTTCTTATCAGGCTCTTTCGCAACGATTTTTTTCCCATCATTTTTTTTATTAATAGAAATGCTAGAAGTTTGGGATAGCGCTTTCAACGCTTGGAGAGTCTCGTTGGAAATCAGCGTCCTTTCTACCTGACCTGTCGACAATTGCGGCTGCAATTCTACTGATTGAGTTGATGCGTCTTGCAAATCTGAACCTCCGCCCGTCGTATCAACAAATCCTGCCGGAGTCTGATATCCTTCTAAGCCATAATTCTCACCATCGGGATCATATCGCGCTCGTTTCCAATAGTTGTCGGTCTGCATTAGAGTAAATTCTGCCGGAAGATTTTTTTGTATTGCTTGGGCGGCCATAAGCTCCGCTTTACGCTTGTATTCCGCTTTTGCTCGCGGATTGGGATCATCCGTAGCCCAGCTGATCCGAAAGGTAATACGCGGAAACAATGAGTCGAAATAAGTACCAATTGAACTTTAAATAGATATACGAGAGCATCTTAAGAATCTTTACCGAACGTTCAGAACTTCGTCGTGATCTAGACTCTGACAGCTCATAGCTTCTTTTGCAAATTCAGCATTTAACGATGACTTGTAAGTTACAAAGGCGACTCCTTTATCCTTAAGTATTTTTACTTTTTAAAAATAAAGAGATTATCGTTAGCTGATATTGGAAAAAGCATCTAAATATTATTTAATAATTAATAGATCCATTTACTCGGCTAGTTAAATGCAACGATTTCATATTCAAATCTTCGAGAATCGATTTTTAGAATCCCCTATATTTTTTGGTAAATTATATTTTTTTTCCTCTCTTTATGGTTCTTACTCTTATCAATTTCGCCCCACTCGCTGAAATGCTTCCGTACTATTTCCTGCCCGCGACAAAAGCAATAAATTTGGATTAGGGATCGTTCTGACCTGCTTCAGCACTCTGATTCAAACATACCTCCATGTCAGGTCCAAGATGTATATGTCCTACATAAATTGTTCTGTTTTCTCTATTAAAACTACCAACACCCCCCATGTCATCTCGATATTCATTAAATTTGTCTCTGCCGAAACAATCTATTGTTGCATCCACGAGATCGTTCTCGTTCGGTATTCTATGCCAATAACTACATTCGTATCTAATATAGAACAAAAGGTCAGTTGCGATATTCAGTGGTATTAAGTATGAATAATCACAGCGCCGTACCCAAAGGGACAACATCCCCGCGCAAAGTATAGACAAAAATACGTATTCGGCATCTTGTCTGCCTTTGTTGCGCCAGCGTCGCGGGAGGGGACACAGCGTGTCTTTGCTTTCTCACCTCGACTATATTAACAAAAGACCAAATTAATAAGAATTCACCAAGTCGACAATGTCCCAAAATTTACACTTACTGGGCATATCTAGCAGACCGATCTCCACCAGACCATCGATTATACCAAATATTGTAAAAAGTTCCACTGCCTTCGGGTGGATTACCACGTCCGTTAAATAATACAGAACTGTCAACCTAGGTCGAGGGTTAAGGTTAGATCGAACTGATCATGCCAGTATGGGTACAGAACGACGAAGAATACGGGATCGTCAAGCTTACTTGCTGTCTTGCTGGTCTGTGAGTCATCAAGGCGAGTTTTGTGTAAAGGGATTAATAAATCGAACATTTTTGATATCAACAGTAGACATGCTTATACGCCACCAAAGATTTCATGACAAGTAACGCCACAGTTGTGGTCACGCGTTCATCTTGAATAACATTTGTATGGTAATTCGTACATTTTTAATGCAGTATTAGTATGTTTTAACGTCTTGTCGACTTGAGACTTTCAGCCTGGTAATCTCTAGCTTTGTGCGTGCTCACGTTTACAGTCGTCGCGAGCTTTTAACCAGCTGCCGCGAGCGCATAAGAGAGTGTTTTTCGTCCCAAACCAGTTATACATTATTATAAAGCTCGTCATATAACTCAATACATCGTGATATAAGAAAAGTTTGTAAAGTCTTTTCACTCACTATAATCATAAAATTTTCTTACAACTAATTTTATTTGTATTATACAATAGTTGAAGTAACACCATTATCTAATTATTACTCAAATTTCTAATCGTCAATAACACGATCTCGTACGAAAGTATAAAGAATGTACAAGCGACCACCAAATTGAAAACAAAATTGGGATCAAATCCTAACGTGACATCTAACAATTTGACCAAGTCCTTATTAGCGACCATTAATGTGAATCCGGCCGCGATTATACAGAATGCTGCAACTACTTCTGTCGGTGGTCTGGAAGGGGCATATCTAGTCTGGGAATCTCGTTTGGATATGCTTTGGAAAATAATTGTAGCAACGCGGGCCAGTCCACCAAAGACGAGGAAGGTCGCAAACTGTTGGTGAACCTTGATGGAGAATTCACTTGTCTGATGATGCGACCCCATTGAAATACCAGTTGCTATGAAGACGAGGGCCACAACCGGGTTAAAGACGGGTGATGACGTTGTCGATGTAAAGGGTATATTGAAACTTCGCGATATTATTTTGCGTATACGCTTGCTTTCAAGTAGAATAGCACACGCACCAGCCCACCACCTAATAAGAGTGTTCGCATTGATATTCTGTTAGGATACATGCACGTGTATGTGTTGTGTTCGGGACCTGTCTCAGTTAAGAACCAGTCACTCAGTCCAGAATTGAAACAGGTCCCAAACTGAGGTACGATATAAATATTTCTTTTTCTGAGATATTAGTTGTTCTACTCACCACATGAATGCTAATGATGCATGCTGCAGGTCACGATGATTCCACTCTGCGCTCTTCCCCGTATGCTCAAGGAATGTATTAGTTATTCCATATGCAAACACAATAGACGCTTCAAGTAGAGAGAACGAAACTACGTTCTTTTCAGGAGCGACGTCGTTCCATGCCCATCCATATTCAGCCCAACATCCAAGATATCTCGCAAATGTCAAAATACCAAACCATACGAATAACGATCCCTTGATGTAATGAGCCAAGCAATTCCCCATAGGTTCTCCCTGACAAGTACCAGTGTATGTCACAAATCCTAGAATAATCTGAGTCCATGTCAATAGAATAAGCATTCGACCGATTACTTTATGTATATAATACCACGATCCGTGAGATAACATAGCTAGGATCTTTGAGGGAAGTAAATTCTCAAACGTTGATCTCATTTTGCAAGCCATATTAGGAGGCCCATTCATCTCGGTCGACTCTATGTCTATAGAGTCTCTGTTGCCAAGTAATTTTTGAGACAATTCCGACTGATAACTGCTAGCTGATCCGGGCATGTCTGCGTATATAGAATTCTCGCGCGAAGAATCATTTGATTCAATCGGAGAGAATCCTTGACTCTCTGCATCTTTTGGTTTGAAAATGTATCTGATTAGGCCGAATACGGATTGAATTATGACGACGCACATGATAATGTAACCAAATTTGCGATGAAAGTTATTCGGGTAAAGCGATTGTGATCTAAAACCGAGAATAAAGACGTAACCAAGAGTGGCCGTTATCATGCCTATTGTCTGGAAGAATGGGTGCCATCTCGAGCGAGATATACCTAGCATCATCCCTTGTTAGAAGTAAATCGAAGTAAGAAATTATCAGCGATAATACGTATGATTCATCGTATCACATTGTATAGAGTCCCTTACGTTAATCCCAAAGATTACACCATGACTTACCAACGGGAAATAGTCCAACAAATGCGACTGACATACATATAATATGTAGCCATAGCAAGATTTGATTATCTGATGTAGCATAACTTTTCGTCAATTCAACTATTGAACTTGACTCGTCGTGATGCGAGTGAGAATGATCTGACATTTGGTCTTCACTGATTTCGCCATTCGCCTCGGATGAGAGGATGATTACTAGAACATAAGCGAAGAACAATCGTGTAAACATTTTGACGTGTATTTAAATTACGATACATTTGATCGATCAAAGGATGATGAATAAAGCTCTTTATATATTAGTTTAGTTATATATTATGTAAGGATGAGTTGTGGTCATGACATAGGGGGAAATACGTTACCGATTGGCGGCGTATACTTTGGCTTTTCAGATAGAAAGCCAAATATGATGTCATATTCTATCCATTTACGTATACAGAATGGAAGAATGAGGTTAGCGTACAGCGCCTTGCCAATTTAAGTCATGTGATGCGCCAAAATTCGGGAAAATTTGATCCCAAGAGTTTGATCACGATGATCCGGTATTATTATTATTGACATGCGACGATCGGCTTGGCAAATTTATCCGAACTTCCCACCATCGAAACACACTCTTCCCAATGGCACAACTATGCATTGTGTGTCAGTTATGCTGACAAATAGGATACGTGCATTGCATTGGTCTCCATTTGCATCGTGCTGGAAACGATACGAATCAAGTGAAGATTAAGAAAAATTCAAGGAAATTGTACGTACGGATAAATCGGCAAGATCATAATATAATAAGCTTACTGTAAAATTCTCGACGCAAGTTGTTAACATATCAATTGATATCACGTGAATTGTTTGCTCGAAACTTCGAATAATATCTCGTCATTATATTGAGCACTTGTCAATGCTGTAGAAACTTTGACGTGGAGAAATAATATACGTGGGGAAGCTGAAAAGTTTTGCGCGTAGATCTTTATTTCCAGAAATTTCATAATAATTATCGATATGACTAT